CAAGGCACGAGTTGCTCGTGCCCGAACAAGTACTCGGAAAGAAGTTTTGGGGTCCACATAATGACGCGTATCTAGCAAGTAATGGAAGAACGAGGGGTGCAATTTTCCTGTTTCAATAGCCAACTAGGCAACTGCTGCTTGGCTCTGGCTATCAATTTCCGTTACGTTCGCCCTATGTACTTGTATCCGCAAGTGCATGTAAATTCGTAAACAGGGTTTAAAGTGGCGTGCAATGGTAAGGCATCCTTCGCACAAGGAATTGATAAGGGCTTAGATGGATTTGAAAATATTAGTTCAGCAGCATATGTCCTTACAATGGTGTTAAGTAGGCGTCTCTTGATGGAATTTAAAATGTTGTCGCCCTTAAAGGACAACGATATGAAAACAGACTTCTTAGGAACTAACTGTTCCGCTATTTTAGGCCGTAAGGGTTTACTATGCTTGTCTATCAACTGTGCTGGATATGCCCGCTTCAGTAAAGTTTCCTTGAGACAGACTATTTCTGCATCTGATGTGTCCATGGCGCAGATCTTTCTCGTCCTCTGGAAGAGAGTATATAGCGAGTTGCGTTTCCACCGAATGGGAACAGAAGTCAAGTACTCTTATGGAATACCATTCGTTAAATGAAGCCATCATGCTGTCGGAACATGTGAACGCCGAGGATTGAAAGCTGGTTCTCTCGTTCTTGTTCCATAGTAAATTTAATCTTGGGATGCAAACTGCTTAAAAAAATTAGACTGCCAAAATCAACGACAACAACTCTCGAGGGTCACTCGCTGTACCTTGGCTCAACTAAACAATGACTACTCCATGCACCTTCGCCAGTACCAGCACTGGCTCGACCCGTCCACACTCGACAGCTGTCCTGATTGCGGTATCTCCTAGCGTGACTGCCGCTATCTCTTCGTCTGCGGTTCCCGGCCAAGCACCCAACTCACCCCCGTGGACCTCTGGCTCAAGCCGGTTTAAGTTGCGGCTTTTCTCTGTATTCCAATCGTCACCAATTTAGATTCCGGCGCGAACGAGACGACAACCGCTTGAGGCGGTATTCAAAACAATTGTAGACCGCCACAAGCGGCGACGACAACAAGCCTATTAGTAGACCGCGTGTCCAGGTTGTGCTGGTGGGCCTCTAAATGGCCATAAGTAGGCTCACTAATGTCAGACATCTGGAACGTTCAGCTTGTTAGAACACGAGCTCTCGTGTCACTGCCTACCCACAGTCGACCACAACGACAGAAGTTCTGGTAACAGGGGGTGTCTGCTTACTGGTCTCACTGTGGGCTACGCGGGGAGGGGGGGGGCGGGTCCAAATGAGGCGCAAATGTCTTCACAGCTGCGGGTTCTCGTGTCCTGCGAATAAGCAACGCCAGACAATAATTGCAGGCATGGCAGGACATCGACTTGGCCGTTACAACAAAGTCACGCCGGCATGATGCGTGTGGCACGCTGTAAAATAAGGTTATATTTGTCGCTCCAAGCCCAAAATGGCGCCGAAGAAGTGGACTGTGACGATCGTCCTCGACTTCGGGTATCAGTTATCCGGTGAGTCATGTCTCAATCGGACGTTTGGTAGTCCGCAAACGGCAAGTCAACTGGCTAGGAGATGAATGCCACTGAAGGGAACAACAACCTGCCAAAAGAGTCATAAGCGAAATGGGAGAGACATGAACAGTGCTTCCCCCCATCACGCATTCGATGTTGACTTCGCTCTTATATTGACGCTGTAACTTACCATATTAATAGCCCAGATACTAAATAAAAGGCCCAGACACGTGTTTTGTCGACATTCTGCCGCTGCTTGACACAGATGCGAGGGGTCCGGCTCATTAGTGGGTCCCCCAGCTCTCCCTCATTGCTTTCTGGTTGATAGACTGGTTTCTGAAGGTTCAGCTTTTTAATCTCCTTAGAAATTAATTTCGGTTCGCCGTATACATCAGTATATGTAAGGCCTTTAGGCAGTGACTGAAGTTGTACGTGTGTATTTGTGTTGAAACCTGTCAACCAGTGTGTAATATTGTAGTAGTTATCTGTACACCGATTTTTCAGGATGTACCCATCCTGGTTGATTCCTCACGAGCTCGGGCCAACTTCCGATCAACAACCGGCAACACAGCGAACACGTGGCTCAGTGGTTAGGACGTTTGCTTCTGACCGGCGAGACGCAAGTTCGAAACTCGAGTGTGGCAGCCATTTCAGCGGCTGCACTAGAGTTGGCTACGCCTAGCAGACGACGGCCAATAAAACCAGAAATAGCTATTCTAGGGTGCCTGTCTTTGTCGGAGTACTACTATAAAATAAAGTGTGTAATATGCACATGCTGCCAAGCGGCAGACTGTAATAATAGGATACCGACCAGAAAACAAAGAGGGAAAGTTGGGGCGACCCACTGATGAGCTGGAACCGTCGCAGCTATGTCAAACAGCGGCCGAATACCGGCGAAACACGTGTCTGGGCCTGTGGCTAGTGCCGGCGCTGTTATTATGGTAGGGTGCAACATCAAAATATACTACTAAAGCCTATCCGTTGGCAGCAAGTGCATATTTTGCGCTGGTTGGCGGGTTTCAACCCAAATATAAACTTACAATTTCGATCTATGCCTATAGACCTTAAATATACTGATGTAAACCGCGAACAGAAATTAATTTCTCAGGAGATTAAAAAGCGGAACTTTCAAAACCGGTATATCAACCAGAAAGCAGACAGGGAAGGCTGGGGGGCCCACTGATGAGCCAGACCCCTCGCAGCTGTGTCAAGCAGCGGCAGAATACC